TGTTAAAACTTTCTATTTCTATGTGTGCATTAGAAAGTACTAAGTACTAAGCAGCAACACATCCTTCAATTGCAAGAACTGGATCTCAAATGCAAATGTAATGATTATTTATCTCAGTTAACAGTTGAGAATTTACAGACAGTTTATACTGTGAGGCAAACAGCCACATAAGGGGCCTTAGAAATCAGATTTATCAATGGGATTCAACTCAGATCTCATTGGAGCCTGGCTGCTAATATCACCCCGAGGTGATGACTTTCGAAACACATTTCACACCAGGTCCAGTATAACCACAGCTCCATTGGGGGACTTTTCAGGGATTATTCGTGATGTTATTGAAGCACATGTCACCCAAACAGCTCTTTAACACTGAAGATCTAACACCCATTATTAGAGTTCTGGCATGTGCTTCACTGGACATGAGCTTGAGCTCTCTCGAACCCTGGACAATGTAATCAGGAGCAGGAAGTACACAGCAGGCTTGCTTGTAAGCATTTTATACTGTAGTGATATCCCTTCCTACAACATAAACCAAGCTGTTGAGGAAGCAGTTCCTACAATACATTGATGTTTAACCTGCACTGACTGCTTGGTTGTGAATCAATTGAGGTCCTGATCGTCTTTCAAAAGTTCACGGGCAGATCATTGGATCACCATTTTTTTAATGTTAAAAAGAAAATGACATCAACACCTAATATCAACATCCATAACATCCACTCTGCCCACTGCAATTGGGAACAGGAAATTAAAATTCACTCCATTATCAATAGCTTAGCTACAGGAAGAGATATTACTTCACTTCAAGCATCATAAAAAGGGCATTCAGTTAACTACAAACTACATACTCACATGGAGGTCACAAAGCTGCCTTACTAATTCTCCCCAAGCCAACAAAGACAAAACTATGTCAAGCTGTAATATGTGCAAATTAGTTACACTAGTTCTTAACACTTTTAAAACACAGCATGCATTTCAATCTACTATTGAGGGACGTTAAAGCAACTTTCTAAGATGGCACTTTTTTTGATCAGTCAGATGTATAACACGTATGGAAATCCATTACCATCCTTAAGAGGTAGATATGTGTGATATGTATGTCCATATAAACATGGAAATTCCCCTCTACCTGGAATAGAACGTACACTCTCTCAGGATAGATGCATCCTGCTTACCTAATTCTGGAGAGTATTTGGTGCTGGTCGGTGAGAGCCAACCAAGGCTTGTGAACCCCAGAGTGTGCGTTGGGGTAACCGCTGGAATCTAACCAGCTATTGAGAACCCTGCTTGGCAAGCTAGGGCCAAGCAGGGCTCTCAATAGTTGGTTAGATTTCAGCATCCAAGTCCTCTCACCAAGTCCAGCTAGGGCCACCCTACCCATAGGCTTTAGTTTGCAGTTAACAGAAGCTGAGTGGGAAGATTCCCTCCAAGTCCTGCCAACGTGCTAGGCTGCTGTCTGTCTGCAGCAATGCCAGAGAATTCTGCGGACTCACCTGGCTAAGGAACCGTGACTGTCACTCAGGGTAGACTAGTTTCTGACATTCTGTTGCCAAACATGTTACCTAAAGTCCAGCTCAAGGAGACCATGCTTACCCCACCCCGATGAGGATAGACACGAGCATTTGCCATTTACTGCAATACGCTTTGCTCAAAGAGAACGCCGTGTGTGCCCAGAGTAAATAATTTACAAAACACTTCAGCACAACAAATAGTTTTTAAAAACTAGCACCCTGATAAGGTTATTTTCCATTAGCAATTCGCTCATTTATCAAAGCCACTCCTGCCCACCTAGGATTAACACTTAAGAGAGTTGGAAAACCTTTGCCAATTTTCTCCTACAGAAGCCTGCTGTAGTAAATTTCCTCAGATATCTTGCCCTAGTGGCCTATTAGTTGTGGATGTATGATATGTATGATTAGCTTCAGTGTCCCTAGGGCTAGGAGTTACAGTTCTGGTTGTCACAGTACAAAAAGGATATTGGAGAAATCAAGAAGATACAGAGGAAGTCAACCACAATGATTGAGGGAATGGAAGGACTGGACTATGAGAAGCAACTAAGTAAATTGGGCATGTTCACACTGAAAAAGAGAAGATTCAGAGGCGACATGATTCCTGTCTTTAAGATTCTAAAGGGGAAAGACAAGATAGATCATGACAGGCTGTTCTACCTTGTCCAGAATAGTAGAACGAGAGGGCACGGCCTGCAGTTAAAGAGGGGTATATTCAAAACAGATTTACACAAATACTATTTCAGTAAACAAATAGTGAACCTGTGGAACAGGCTCCCTGAGGAGACGGTTGAAGCAGGAAGTGTTGATTCTTTCAAACCCGGATTAGATAGCTTTCTTTTAGAAATTACAATATGGAATATAGTACATAGGTAGTTTGGGACATATGTTCATGCGACCTCCAAGGAGGTGGAGGGCAAACTAAATGGACTTTGGTCTTTTGTCGTCTAGCATTTCTTATGTTCTTAGGAGGTGAATCCCCCTAAGAACATAATAAATAACTAGACAAAAAAAGAAAGCAAACCATTAAATATTCCTGAAATCGGGTGAGGATGGAACTGGCTCTTGGTTTAATGCCCACAATGGTTAAACAGCCTGGCAATTCTCACCATTTCGGCTTGCACATAAACAATAACCACTTTGGCAAGCTATCAGAGGAAATTCTAAACCCACAGTCATCCAATCTCCTGTGGGACTCGGGAGCTAAATTGGCAGTAGTTTTAAAGGGCAAATGGGAGAAATCGGAGTACAAATACTCAAAAGAAATCCAGCAAAGCTAGTCCTTCAATGGGGTATGTTACATTTCCAATCAGTACCACGAGCGGAAATGAGACATGGGTACATTGTTTTTAGTTTTTTTTTTACTTTCATCGCCTTAAAGGCCCTCCCTGGCCTTGCCCCTTCCAACCTCTGTGACCTGCTAACCCCTTATCAACCTGTCCGCTCCCTCCGCTCAGCAGGATCTGGCCTGCTCCACATCCCCTGCTCAGCCCGCCCCACCATCGATTGTCAGGCCTTCATCGTCTCCGCTCCCACCCTTTGGAACTCCATCCCACATTCCCTTGGCCTCGCTCCCTCCCTTGCCTCCTTCAAGGCACATCTCAAGATCCTCCTCTTCCACCGTGCCTTTGGCCACCTTCCTACCCTCCCTTGCTCCAACTCCCCCCTGCTATGGCCCAAATCCCTGAACGTCCGCGCATTGGGACGTCCTCCTGATGTGAAAGGCGCTATACAAATGTAATATTGTATTGTATCAATACTGCAACAAGTCAAGAAACAAAGCAAGAGCCTTCGGTCTTGTTTTTTCCCCTGCACTCCTCATGTCAATGACTATCGCTGGTATGCAGTTCCTGAGACCTGCCTCTCTATACTTTGCCAAATACTTATTTGGACAGTGTCAGTCACTGGGCTGTTAAGTGTCGAGTGATAACAGCAAACAGCGACCAGCCAACACTTTCACTCGCACACTTACTGCGGGTGGGAGGGCGAGCCTTCAGATATCTGCCTTCTTCGAGCAATTATTGCCTCCACACCTAGTGACTCAGTGTTTTATAGAAGACCAGAAAATGGACTTTGGACCTTCCTATTAGTTTCCCTCCAGTCTAAAATAATTTCTGAGAGCTCCCTCCTGTGCAACAGAATTGTGAGCATTAGAAGTCAAAAGAAAATAAAACTTACCTCCTTGTAGCATTATAAAGTTACTACACCATAATAATCACACTTTTTACACTTAAAAAGTTAAGTGTGCTCAAGGACACATAATTGTCGCTTTTATGAATGTAAAGTTAAGTACCGGGTTGCTAAAACAACAATTTACTAAGTAACTTTCACGTCGGGTGGATGTCTCAAAGCGCTGCATGCAAGCTGGGGGGGAGCTGAGGGGAGGAATAAAGGAAGTGGCTGAAAGTTTGGGCGAAAAGATGAGTCTTAAGGTGGGTTTTGAAGGCAGGAAGGACTCCAGGATGGAGTTCCAGAGAGCAGGACCAAAATGGCTTGTACCATCAGAAGTTGCAGTTTATATTAAAATAGCAAACTTCAGCTAAAGCCAGCAAACTAGCAGTGGACAGTCAGTACTTCCAGCCACAGCATCACTATTTGCCTTCATTTGGCAAGTTTTGGGGAGAACTTTCGAGAAATAAACTGAACCCTGGGTAATGGGGATGGGGGTGGGGGGTGTACTGTCCCCAGCGTTTGGACTGCCAGATGCTGAATTAGCACCGGCAGCAACTACTGAGACCGCACTGCGACCAGTCTCCTGTTTGGGAGGAAGGAGGAGCAAGAGAAGTCTAATCAGGAGAAAGGCACGACATTTAATATACTGAAACAAAAAAATATAAAGCAAAAAAGTTGAAATAATCCATTTTATTCAGAGAACACCATTAACATACATTTGTGTTCTTCAACCTCTATCAGCATTTGGAAGCAAGTATTATTGTGAAGGTATGGGTGCAAAACACAGTTCAAACTCCACTCTCAGGAAAGCTGCATTCAAACAGGTCCATTAAGAAGCTGACTATATTTTAGTATTTTTTTTTGGGGGGGGGGTGGTGGGGGAGGAGAAAAGGGAAAGGGGAAAGAAGCTCACTGGCTTACTTGTGTAAGACTGCACCACTCCAAACCAAACCCATTTGAGCGTTTGCTTTTAAGGACTGTGAGGTTACACTGAGCTGAGTGAACTTAATTCAGGTTTAATGAATTCACAGCAGACCAAAAAAGAAGCCTCAACGGCATTAAACCAGCAGTCGCTTCTGACCTTATATGGTTAAGTCGGGTTCCTAATTGCACCTTCTCTGTAGTATGACCCTACTGATGAATCCTCAATGGTGGCTCAAGGTATAAAGTGGGGAAAGGTTCCATTTCCTAAGACGGTCAGCCCTCAATTTCCTGAACATCCCAAGGAAAAACCCATTCCTATAGCCGCTACATCAAAATGACACACAAATATAAAAATAGAAAAGCAAGACAACAGGGGGAAAAAAATCATTCTGTATTTACCTGACTGTAAGTCACCACTGATAAGTTGCTAGAGTGACTGTTAGGTGAGATATTTACAGATTTCTGCGACAGTCCATTTTGCTCTTGTTCATTTTGGTCTTGACTTGGGCTCCATGCATTTTTACTAATGGGGTTTGTACCTCGGCCCCCGGGGTCCTTCACAATGCTGTCTTCAGACTGCCTGTTTTTCTGCGGTGAGGCGAAAGGGTTAAAATTGCCTTCAATCTTGCGACACGGTTGTGAAGAAAATTCTGTTTCAAACGAAGACAACTGTTGCGTAACTCCTAAAAGGCCTCCGACTTCAACACTCAGAATCACCCAAATCACATCTGAGACAGATACAAGACACAAAAGACATGAAATCACAATTACTGAGTAGATTACAATGCCATTGGAGCCAATTAACATTTGCCATTACTGAAATATTTCAAACCCTTGGAATTCAGATTCCAGAACTTGGCAAAATCTAAATCGATAACGTCAATGTCAGTTTTGTTACAAATCACTTCAGTAGTCAATGTATCTCTATGCATTAAGGGCTTGGAATCTTTCTCGTTCGCTCTCCACCCCAGGGGAGAGAGGGGAAACAATAGCAATGGTCATTTACCCTTCCTGGAAGGACATGGGTATTTTCCTCCCACCCCTCACTGTTTCCAGCGCTCTCCATATCTGGGCTCGTACATGAGGAACGACCACCTGAGCATGGTACCCAAGGGCTGCTGCTACTGTCTGTGTGCCTTTTAAGGAGGGGATGAAAACTCTAAAGACAGACTAATCTTCTCTCTTCATTTTGGTGTTTTTCTTGTGAAAAAGGAAGAACCTGACTGCCACCCTCATGGGTACACGAGTCATTGATCTCAGACCTTCCCCAATGTGAGCATTTTGTTTTAAAAAAAATTCTACACTTCACCACCCGCCTCCACTTTTCCATCACACTCAAGGAGGCAAATCATTAAAAATCTATTTTCACGGACACCAGCAACCTCCAGGACCTCACAGTCACAAAGCAGGTGAGCAATTGAACATATCCTGGTTAAGCACTAATCTAACACAGCTCAGAGACTGAATGCGGGCCCACATAGCCCATACACTAAGCTGTACCCATCCAGTCAACAAGAAGCCAACACTTTCCCATTAGGAAGATCATCTTGGCTCTCTCTTCAAAAGCACACACCATCACTGGCCAAGTAGATGGTAAGCACTCTGTGTTTGCAAGCCTTCCATTCCTCTAACCAGAGCCTCATTTCAATCATAGCAAAACCCCAAATTGAGAATTCCAAGATATTAGAAACTACAAGGACAAATCTGCAACTCTGTGTTTAAGAGCTACTTTAACCAGTTACCTGCAAAACATTCACGTCAGTGTTGGCAGCAATGGAGGATCATCCCATTCCACAGCTGCTGCCTCAAACTGACTCAGCAGCAGCACCCACAGCAACTTGTGGTTTGCCAGTTTGATGTGAAATGCTGTATTAATGTATCTGAATTCTGGTGGACCAGATTCCAGAACCTCTGAAGAAGCAATTCCTCCCTTTCCCCACTCTCCAAAAAGAGGGTAGCTAGCCGGCATGAAATCGCATTACTCACTGGTAAGTTATGTAGAAAGAAATATGTCAGAGAGTTTTTGCATCTACCCCTCTGTACTGCAAGAATCTTTTGGCACCATCCTATAGTCTCCCTTGAATCCTCACCCCACCTAAAAAATAACTTCAACAACCGAATCCTTTTATTATACACTCAAGTGGAAATTAAAGTATGCTACAATTAAAATAAACAGCTTTTAAACATTACTTAGGAGAATGTAAAAGTACGGCAAAAACACACGGCAAGTTAACTAGCAACATATTTAGGGAGGGGAATGGTTGAAGGACAATCCGAGTATAATGTAGAGCCACAGGGTGCCTCCAAGCTGTTCCTGACAGAATGATATTGGCAGAGACCCAGGAACAGGTTGTTTGCCTGACTGCATTCCCTTCAGCTGGGGAATAGTGCATGGCAACCTTTACCAAAATAAATTATGACCAATGGATCATTACATTGCACCAGAAGTTGAACTTCACAAGCCAGATTCAAAGGAACAAGACCTTTTGGCCGATTTAATCTCATCTTTGTTACAGGAGATGATACCGGGGAATGAAAGGATATCGCCATGAGAAGCTAGAGATTAGGACTGTTCCCTTTGAAGCAGGAAGGGCGAGGGGTGCTATGATAGATTAGAGGTCATTGGAGAAAATTGATCCTGAAAAATTATTGCCGTTAATAAAGGATTTGAAGTCACGAGAGCATGAATTCAAGATTGTGATGAGGAAAGTAAAGGGAGACATTCAGAAAAACTTCTCCCAAAGGGCTGTCGGGATGTGGAATGATTTGTCAGAGGTGGCAGTTCCAGCAGAATCAATTGGGGCTTTTAAAAAAGAATTGGACAAGGACATGCAGAGGAATGGTATTAGAGAGTACAGAAAAAGAGAGGGAAATTGGGATTAGGATGGAAGGCTTTTTAGTTGGGCAACTGGCTGTCTGATACCTAGAATTTATTTTTACAGCACAGAAGGCAGCCATTTGGCCCATTGTGCAGAAACCCAATGTCACACTGAAGAGTATCCAAACCTTACAGTTCTGACATCCTGTTGCCAAGCTCGTCACTTTGGAGCCAGCTCGGCTCAAGGAAATGCCACTAACTCCCCTCCCCAAAAGAGGAGGACCAACAAGGACAAAATGGTGAGATGGTTTCTTGTTAGAGGAAACACTAACATGAAGAAACAGGCCTCCTACTATGGTACTCATTTCTATGGTTTAATATCAACCCATCACATCTTTCCATCACAACATCAAGCACTTTTGCAAGTGAGTCCAGGGTTCTGACCTCTCCCACCTTACCTGATGAGCCATTCCAGATATTATTTACCCTCTGTGTAAAAGAAATATATCTTGGCAGCCATCTAAACTGGCCCTTCTCAAACCTGAACCCATGGCCTCTTGTCTTCCTATCCTAGCATATCTGAAAGCACTGTTCCGTTTTATCTTTCTCTGTCCGATTTAGATACTATATACCTCTACAAAGTTGCCTCTGTGACATCCAATGTCAAGGCTGAAGAACCTTAGCTCCTCTAATTATTCCTTAGGTTCAACTAGTTCCTCTCCTTTGCCCTGCGTTTAGTGCCTCAGGGACCTGCTTAGATCAGCAAAGGAGATAATAAAGAACAAGCATTTTGATAGAATCCTCTGTTAAAAACAAAACTCTTGGATATTGGTCTTCCTGTCCCACAATATCCAACTGATCTACTGAAATGTTAGAGCTCCCTCTTGTGGAGAATAACATGCATTACGTTTTCCTGCTTTTTAATTGCTCTTCCCTGCATAGGCTGCAGACTATCCAGAATTCTGCAGCTCATGCACTCTCCTGTATCAAGCTTACTAGCCTGTCACCCCATCCTTGATTGAATACATTGGTTCCCCATTGTCCAGCAGATAGAGTTCAAGATCCTCGTTCTCTCATTTAAATCCCTACATGGTTTTTCCCCATTTGACCTCTGCAATCTCTTTCATCCACACCAACCCAGCCCTTTCTTTTCCTTGGCTGACATTGACCAACTACACATCCCTCGATCTATCTACCTCGCCATTGGCTAGTGGCCACTTGGTGCCCGCTCTCTGGTACTCTATTCCCAGGTCCCTCCCACTTGCTCCCTCTTTCTCCCCTCTTTTAAGGTACATCTCAAATACATGCTTTTGGTAATCTTGCCCCTCAACCCTCTCAGCTCCGGTGCCCAGCAAGAATTATCGATCGGTTTGGGGTGTCCTCTCAATGTGAAAGGCAATATCCAAGTGTAAACCGTACATGCTCACCAGCCTTGTATACTGTTGTACTTCTATAAATCAAGATTTCTGACAAAATCTTCTCATTGAGGAATTTTCTTAACATGAAGGAAGACCAATATAAATTTGGTTATTTATTGTAATTTCGAAGAGAAAGAGGAGGAAAGCACTTCTTGCCCTCATCATCACGTGAAACATTAGTTCCTAATGTTATTACCTCCAAAATAAAGCCCAGTAGCCGTGCACATGCGCCACTGGCCCTGGAACATTCCTGATGTAGATGGACTTCGCATCTGAACGCTGACGTCAGTAACTTCTTGAGGCTCAAGCGACCGAACCATCACCATGTTCACGTGCCCAAACTGGTCACCTCCCACATACTTCAGGGAAACTCCAGGTGGCCACTGCTCTGCACCTGGAAAGGAAAGAGTTGGTCACTGTAGTTCTATCACTCCTAAAACAATGGGCCACTGAATACCCTCAAAGTAAATGTACCACTTGAATGAAGAAAGATTTATTCCCCATCCAAACTCAGAACAGGGAATTCTGAGAAAATGAAACCTAAGGGTGTAGTTTCAGTCAAGAGTAAGACTTCACAGATTGGAAACAATGATGTAAATTCTTTAAGCCATAGAAAACAAATGTGGCTTCTAGGAAAGAGGGAGGAGCTGAATAAAGAAAGCTCTTTGATTTTTGTTACCTAAGCACTAAAATTTAGAAATGAAAATACTCCCATTTTATGAAATATTCTCAGATGTACTTGCTAAGCATTTCACTTTTGTAAAAATATTAGATTCTAAACTGGAAACACTGAAAACTGCTTCCTAGGAAAGACGAAGGGTAATGCATGGCAACATTACCTCTGAGGGACAACAGTACCTCAGCTCCAAGTATCTGGACCATAGAACTTTAAGCCTTTGGTTTTCACTTGCAATTCTTACAGGATGAAACATCTCTCTCAGATATGGCAATAACCTCAATCTAATGTATTTGTTATACCAACTGTTGACCATTCAAGGCCTACACGATATAAAGGCTGATGTCCTGCATATTCATATATCAAGGAGGAGGGAGGGGGAGGCCTGAATGAAATTTAAGCATTTTGAAGTTTAGCTGAATATATCAGAACACTGATCAAGGATCAAAATGATAGGAAAATGTGAAAACCAGAAAAAGAAATGTTCCATCATTAAAGAAGCAATCGAGATCAAACAAGAATATGACACCCATCAAAAAGGAACAGAAAGTAGCTCATCTGGCCTAACAAAAATGACACAATGAATGAAAATTATCCTTAAAAAGAAAATGATTTCTTGTAGAAAAAACAAATGGAAGAAGAAAATCATCCACGGTCAATTTCTAATGAAATGAAAGAACAAGGTAGATATGAACCAAAGTTACAATTGGTTGACTATCCGAGATTTGAAAGCTCAAGCAGCTCTCACAATATCAACAATATCAACCTAAGACCAAGATGCTACTACATGTTACCATGAAAATAAGATCTTAAAAATTAAAATTAAACCTTGATCCAAAATGCTGAATATGCCATCAAGCACCAGAAATAGGAGACCACTTATTGTCATCAATCCACTCTTTTAACATCGCAAATATGTGCTTTTGATAATCTTGCCCCTCAACCCTCTCGGCTCCAGTGCCCAGCAACAATTATCTGATTCAACATAATAATGTAGTGAAATATACTCACTAGACAATTTGTAAACACTTTGATATTGATGTAAAGATCAACTGGTATAATAATCCTTGCATACTATGAACTGTAGTTTTTAGAACCCGCAAAATGATTTCTTCATATTAATAAACCCATCATTGGCCATCATCGGCCTATCACCCCCACCCTCACTCAGTGTCACTGGTTCCCCATCTCCCAGTAGATCAAGTTCAAGATCCTCATTCTCACGTTCAAATCCCTTCACAATCTCACCCCACTCTTTCTCTGCGACCTCTTTCAGCCACACCGACCTGGCAACTCCCTTCGCTCAGCGAACACCAACCTGTATCAAATAATTGGTTCCTCACCTGCTCCCTCTAGCATTTTGCCAACCCGGGGCCTCAGATCCTCAACCCGTGCAGCCGAAAGGCAATTTACCATTCGATTATCTGGGGCCGGTTTGCACAGAATTCTGTTACATATTTCTACCAAAACTAATTATTCATAAAACATTTCATTACACATTAGCCTGGCTCAGTTGGTAGCACTCTCGCTTCAGAGTCAGAAGGTTGTGGGTTCAAATATCAGTGCTTTGAATTCAGTCCTGGTTGACTCTCCCATGTAATGCTGTGGGAGTGGTGTGGGGTATTGTTGAGCGGTACTGTCCTCCAGATGACACGGCTGGGTATTAATTGGCTGCCGCATTCACTTACAAATAATAATAATAATCCTTGCATTTGATATAGCGCTTTTCACGTCGGGAGAACGTTCCAAAGCGCTTCACAGAACACACTGTAAAGTGAATTGACTGTATATTTGTGGGCGAATAGTCAGTACAATCCTGTGAAGTGCTTTCAGATGTCCTCTCAACACGAAAGGTGTTATATTAAATGCAAGGTTTCTATTTTTCATCCGTAACAGCTTCAAAACGAATAAAATGGAAGCTCTATTCAGGTCAGCCAGAGAGGGAATGAGGCTAACAAGTACATTATAAACTGACAGCCACTGGAAAGTATTGAAACAACCAGTGCTCACAGTTCTGAAAACATGAGTCATACAAAAAAAATCACCTGTCCACTGATAAGCAATCTGGGCAATCTAAATTTGAGCTCCAATCTCAGATCAGGGTCCATCTGACCATATCAGAATTGTGGAATTGTGTGAGCTGCTCGATCAGATTAATGCATGAACAAGTACATCACACGATTTACTTTCCTGATTTTTGCTTTAGGTTTGCACAAATGTAAATGCAACACCGCTTAAAATCAGACATCAATGAGCAGGCAAGGGTGCAGTACCATTCCTCACAAATGTTACATTTTTGTTGAGAAACTGGTAGATTCAAGAGAAAATGAGGATTTTATGAGATGCCACTGACACTTTATAGAACTGCCACACAGTATGCCTCAAGGCGGCACTACACAAAGCTACAGTTTGTAACGAATCACACACCAGAACGAGTCAAATCACCAACGTCAATACGCTGCATTAATACACAATTTTGGTTTTACAGTCAGAAAAGCACATATTTTGTAACTGAATACCGATGTTACTCTACATGACAGGAGCGATCTTAATGTAACGTGTTGTTATTCAGTACCAAATCTTCACACACAAACAGAATACACAGATTGCTGACACTGAGACATCATTTTAGGTCCTGGCTGAGTGGAAGTCACCTCTCTTCCCCTCCACCCCCCCCCCAAAAAAACATCTGTAGAAACACTTCAGTTTATTAGTGGAGTCATGTAGCTCAGTGGTTAGAGCGCTCGCCTTGCAAGCGAGAGTCCTGGGTTTGATTCCCGCAGGGCGAAATGTTAGGCGAGTTTCCTTACTCCACACGCCTGTTTACCGAGCAGTAACTAGGAACCCAGTTGTTAGTCGATTGGCGGATTGCATTTCCGGGGATAATAATCCCTAAAAAAAGGTCACTCAATCCACAACTATTTGTGGAACACTGCTGTGCGTAATTGGCTGCCACGTTTCACCCACAAATATACAGTTAATTCATTTTACAGTATACTCTGCGAAGCGCACTGAGACGTCTAGAAGATGTGAAAAGTGCTATACCAAATGCAAGGATTATTTATTATTGTAACATGCAATTTGCTGACAATGAACTATGGACAGGCTTTTTTAATTGACATCAAAGTACATTTCTGACTAATTATCTACTTTCCACTACTGTGATGGCAGTATAAATATTCAAAAGCCAACTGGGATTGTGCAGATGCACAACAATTATATTAATCCAAATTAACATGAGAAATTCCAACTGCAAAACAAAAAACAAAACGACGCAGCACTCATTAAAGGAATTTTCTCAATTCGTACACAATGACTGAAGAGCGCAGCTCAAGCAGTTTTGTAGCACTATAAACTCAGTCCCCCAATATGTTTGTCATATTGTGCTGACTAGTTCTATCTCAAAGATGCTGACAGCAGCTTCCTTCAGCTCTGGACTCCAGACTAGGATCTAAAGCACAACAAATCTGTCTTCAAAGGAAAGACCCACGATGGCAACTCGAAACGCTCCACAGAGCACTTCTAGTTCAGAAAGGAACAATAAGCTAAAATGTTAAAGTTGAAAGTGCACCAAAGGTTCACAAGTTAGATCAGCTAATTCCTACGTCACAGAAACAGAACTTTCCTGATCGGACGGAGGACAGTAATACAAGACAATGTCTCCCTCTGGTTAGGACTGTAGCTAACCCGGGGACAATTTCCACTGGGATGCACTTCAATATAAAACTCTCAGAGGGACATCAATACCTCTCCCTTCGCACAGACAAGATTTGCACCAATGTACCAAATATTCTGGCTACACAAGAACACCATTCTACCACACACCCACTATCTACAAGCCCATTTATCTACATTAGGTTTGAATGTAAAAATGGGTGCAGGGTTGTGAGATAATGGCAAAATAAAATTCACACGTGAAGTTTTACATGCACATGCCCTGCCATTGAAAGTACTTTCTGGCAAGCTATCCCCCTTGACCAGGTAAGACCATCCTCCCCATTAGGGCTTTGGATTGCAGGGTTAACAGGAGCCGAGAGGAAAGAATCACTGTCCCCAGTGACAGAGCTGAACCTCCCAATTCCTGTCGCTGAGCCAGCCTGGCTGTGCTGTCATTGGCAGTGCCCTGTAGCTCTGCAAAGAGCTTGGCTCAGGAACTGGACTTCCGAGACCCCCACAGAGGATTGACTCAGCTCCAATGGTTGCCAAGTATGTACCCTTGAAGCCAGATCAGCTCCAAGGAGATGCCACACCTCTCCCCGCTACCCCTCCCACAAGGAGGATAGTCGCTAGTTAGTCATTTGACATCAACATGTGGAGATTTGAGCCTCACTAGATGGATAGCAAGTACCAGGGACTCCATGTAAGCTTCTTGGTGGACAGCACAGCTCAGCATGAAATGCATGAGAACATTGGCAGCTATCTTCCTGCCCACAGTTCAGACACATGTTCCTTCCCATTGAGCATTGGTTCCACCAGTTGGAGATGCAGAGCTTAGCAACAACAAGATTAGATTTGTATCGCGCCTTTCACATCGGGAGGACGTCCCAAGGCGCTTAAGCATCAGCTGCTCACCTCTCTGCACCAATCAGGGTGTTTTCTAAGCCCTAGACATATGACTGCATGTTCACGAACCTGAACTCCAGGTAACGCCTTCCAGCAGCTGCCACCCCAAGCCTCTCAGAGTTTTCCTTTCAGCTATTCGACAGATATCTGCCTTCAATATGTTGGAAGGACCTTTACAGGACAGTTTAACATGCCTTGTTGTTCTAGAGGTCATCTGGAATTAATTGCCCGAAAGGGTAGTGGAAGCTGATTCGAGAACAACTTTTAAGAGAGTAGATAATTATTTGGGGAGGGCTATGGGGAGAGAGTGGGGCAGTGAGATTGATTTGAATAGCTTGTTTCAAAAATCCGGCACGGACGCAATGGTCTCCTTCTGTGCTGTATGATTCTAGGTCCAAGTCTAAAATGACTAATCCAGGTCCTTGTGTGAAGGACTGACAAATAGAAGTGCCCATTGTACAGTCGACTCTGCCAGCGTGCTCAGCGACAAGTCGGTGTAGGCTGGAGCCCTGCATCCCTGTAGCTACTTCCCCTGTTTGTCATAAATTCACCTCACTGCTTGATCCTGGATAAACAGTCTGGAGGAAACCCACTCACTGCATGTGCAGGAGCTGGAAACCATGAAGGAGAATTGATTGGACACAAGTCTTATACACCACAAGCTTGACCTGCATTGGGACTCTGATGTTATTGAAGAGATGAGAACGACCAATGACCTTTGCCCCTTCTCAACACAGTCCCGCAGGACAATGTCCAATCAAAAGTTGGTGCCCGCTACATGCCCCAGATACCGATAAGAATCAACAATTAGGACTGATGCCTCTTGTATCTTCCAATCAGTACCTTCAAGGCCCATATATCTGCACTTGGAGGTACCCACCATCATGTCCCACTGTTCAAGATGGTGAGTGCCGCGCACAAGATCCCCAGTTGAGTCCGCCAACAGAATATTAACATCTGCAAACAGAGGTGCGCAAACAGATAAAAGTTATATAACAATAATAATCCTTGTAACTGATAAGAGTGCCTTATTACATTGTCGAGACCTCTCAAAAGAGCTTCACAGGATAGACTGTAAAGCGATATAACTGTGTATTTTGTGAGCACAACAGAGGTAGACTTAAGAGTTATAAAGAAAGCCAGAGAAACAGAGTGAGAAAATTAAAGCCAGAGTGGCAGAGAGAGTGAAGGGCTGGCCCACTGAGGTACGATAGTGATAGTATAATTTCTGGTGGGAAAAATTTCTGGTAAGCCAATTGTATTCTTCATGACGATATACTGTAACTAATTTGCATTCTGTATTGTGACCATTTATAAGCAATGTTCGCTGATCCACAATTGACAATTAGTGGAAATAATCAGCTCTATCCAATGCAGACTTGGTGGCTCATCAAAGTATAACAATGATGAAACTTAAAAATTGAAGAGTATCGGTTAAATAACAACTTGAATTCATTCAGTGGTTAGCTAGTGGAACACAAAACAGAAGAGACAGAGAACAAGAAAGATGTTTAAGTCATACAAAATGTTTTCCTCCCAACCTCAGAGAGCTCTGGACTGCCAAGCCTGTGTTTCAGTACCCATTGTAGGCATTTTGCATGACTTAAATTAAAAGTTTAAGCAACAGGTTTTCACCACATGCATCTCAATCTTTTTCTTCTGTTCTTAACTTTACAGAAAGTGCCAGCCTACAGACTGGGCAGATATTTACCCGTGTTCTGTATCCTCCAGGTTTTGGTGAACTGGGTGTCGGGTGGTACAGATTCTCCTTCTCCTATCGTAACATCTTCAACAAATGACATAGAAGGAGCATTTATATTGGGGCTCTCAAAGTCATAGTAAGCACCAATGGCAGCTTGCAAATTCCTGAAAAACAAAAAAACAGGTTTCTTCAATTTGAATAGTTCCTTGAAATGCATTAATATTTAAGACAGGAAAGCAGTTACAATAATACTATCAGATCTGCAAATAACTGCAAAGATTATAATCATTTTTAAATGTGTCAACTGACACATACAGAAACCCAATCCCATGCTTAAGAATATCCAACCAGACCCAATTCCACACATGTATGCCACCTACGCATGGAAATGCCACTGTGTCTGGAATGGATTGTGCAATTTCTCTCTAGAGGTATACACCTTTCTTATCTAATTCTGGAGATATGAGGGACAGGTTGGCAAGAGCCAAGGCTTGGGGACCCCAGAGTGTGCATTGGGATACTACTGGAATTTAACCAGCTAAAACTGCAAATCTTGCCATTGAGATCACTGTCTGGCAAGCTTCTGGGTGGTCCTAGATGGACGACATGTCCACCTAGGTACTTGTTCATCTAGGTCCACCCTGCCCATTAGGGTTTTGGCTTGCAGGGTTAACAAGAGCTAAGTAGGAAGAATCCCTGCTTCCAGTAACTGGTCTGGTACTCCAAACTGGTTGGACTGTCATCAGCAGTGCCCTGGAGTGGGTAATGGCAATATAGTTAGTCAACAGAAAAGATACTCACGTTTAGAATGACTAACTGATAACATGGAGATAAAATCTAATTCAGAAGTTCTTCATTCTAGTTTTTCTACATTTTCTGAAACTGGAACAGTATGAGCATTAAAACAAGACTCCAAAGACTCTCTGGATATATCAGATCTCTAATCCATTATTTGTTTTGCTTTCCCTTGTAACTTTAGGTCACTTCATTTGAAGAGCAAGGTTGAACTCAATCACATCCAAATATTGTTTTACCGAAGAAGCCAATACCTGGAAAATCTACTCTTGTGTGTCTGTCAAGTGTCTCAAATGCTCATTCTCTCCAACATTAAAGTTATATAAAAGTGAAATGACAATAATCTTAAGCATTGTCCAATGTAAGAACAAGAAACAGATTTAAGATATACCAATATCCATAAACAAAGGTGATTCCTTCAAAGCAACAAATGGAATAGCGAGGAAATGGTCAGCCTGGATAAAAAAGATATGCTTTTTTCCTCACTCCCCAATTATTTTTTTCCCAGGTAACACTCACACTTGCCAAAACTGTGGCCCTGAACTTATTTTTCCTTCATGTTCATTTAAAACAGTACAGTAGCTCCTTCTCTTTAGGGGATACCATTAAGCTCTCTAATCACTAGTTTTCAACTATAAAAAGTTGCATCGTCTCCCGCATTTGCCCAGAGCTCTATTAAGAGTCCACGGTGCTTTGTAGAGGTAAAACTACGAGTCCCTTTCACTAAACTACCCTCTACCTGGTATACTTATTTGCCTACAAACACATAGACACTACATGTGAGACATTTCAGTGTGATAAGGTACTATATCAAATGCAAGGAATTTTTTTTTATAAATACTTTGTCAAGCTGGAAACCAGCAGCAAAGCTAAGTTGTAGCTTGCTCAGGTCACCACATTTAAAGTGGCAACCACGGCAGTGAAGGACAAGTTCTGCTCTGATAACGCTCCCGATTCAGCAACTAAATTCCCTTCAGTGCAGTAAGGAAAACCTTGTTTCTTTCACTTCATATGAGACACATGAAAGAACTTTCTGAAATCCAATCAATGGCTCCCAGCACTGCTTACCTTTGATGTCTCCACTCTCATTCAGCTGCTGACATTTGTGGCCTCACTTTCTCCTCTGATCTCAAATGGAACTCACATCTCCACTGCTGAAGCTGCCTCCAATAGCTTGGTGTCCTTTTTTGGCAAACATTTAGATTTCTCTCAACAAGTTCAACTTTCTAGAAAAGCCCAAGTCAGTACAATACTGCTCCAATACTTTGGATGATCTTCCAACAATGTTTGAGCTGCTGGACAGTACACAAGAAAAAGCTGGTCATTTGATAGGTGATCCTTCTGACCATCACAGCTTTCCCTATCTGCTTATAATAATAATCCTTGCATTTGATATAGCACTTTATCACATCCTCGATACGTCTCAGTGCTTCACAGAATACACTGTAGTAAAGTGAATTGACTGTATTTTGTGGGCGAAAAGCAGCAGTCAATTGCGCACAGCAATGTCCCACAAACAGCCGTGGATTGAGTGACCAAATTATTTTTTTTGTATTGATACTATGATTTTCCTCTCTTCTTTTTCTTCCCAACATGCTCTGGCTTTGAAAATTAAATTCCAAACCCACATGGTCTTATATTTTTGCTCTGAAACTGCAAAACTCCAACCTTTCCCAAAGCATCTGCTATATTTAAACACCCAAGCGGTAAATCATCTTAAAACTAAATATATAGTGATCGAGAGCAGAAATTTTCAGCAGCGAAGAAGTTATTCAGATGCTACTGAGACGCTATCCTGTGTGAAGGGCGCAATATAAATGCAAGTTGTTGTGGTTGAGTTCCCTCGGTTATGTCTGTGTTGGCTTTCTGCATACTCCTGCCTTTTCCACAGTCCCACGAAAGAAACTTGGCTGATTTTTATCCCCATATTCTGGAGATGCGAGAGCCAATTGTAACATACCAATTGCTGTCCCAGGTGAGACCAATGAACTCAGCAGACAAAGTGGTTGAGGCAAGGCAGAATCCATATTGCCTTCAAAAGGTAACTAGATAGGTATTAAAAAAAGAGTAATTTCAGGGACATGGGAGAAATCAGCAGGATAATAGAACTGAATGGACTGCTCTTTCAACCCCCACACATTCAGCTGAACGGGCTTCTGTGCTATAAATTTCTGATTCTAAGGAATGAACCCTGTATCCTGGTCTGAATGTCTCACTGCTTCGCAAGCAGATTATCTATGATTATCTATGATTATCTATCTATCAAGTTTTTATTGAAATAAGAAAATGCCAATTACAAATGCACATTGAGCACATAAATTTAATTTCACACCAATTAATTCAAGACCTTCTGACCTTTAAGAGACTCAAAACAATAAAATTCAATTGCTTCAGTAGGTTTGGGAATCAAATAGTCCACTGATTATACAATGGTCTGAAAAGTGGCGGAAGAAACTAAAGGGTCCATTATTGGGCTGAATGCCATCTTATCCATCCCACTGTTTATTTATTAATATGCACATACTTGATTTTTGGGGGTCTAAAGAACAGTAAAGCATTGGTCAATTTCTTCCTATGTTAAAGTTGGCACCAGCACTTATACCATGGCCCCAAACGATATCCTCTGTTTGCAACCAGGGCTTTCTGTTCTTCCTTGTCCTCAGTTTCCCTGCTGCTTTTGTCACTGTTGACTATACAATTCTTCTCCACTGTATATCCTCTCTGGCTCTGCACTTTCCTGGTTTCACTCCTACCTGTCTCAGTGTCTCCACTTTGTCTCATCTGATGGTCTCTCCTCCTGCCTCGCAGGTGAGCAGTAGACAAGTACAAATATGGTTGTTGATGTCTTAGTTCTTATTGAAACTGTAATTATTTTGGATATTTCCCCGATTATCTTACCCAGTTGTGTTACACCCATCTCAGACATTCATGGATAACCAAGCTGCAAAGGAATCAGTCTTATTCAAGGCATAATAACCAGGAAATCATGGCGATCTTAAAACTTCTTTCCAGATTATCCTCCGGGGGGAGTAAAAAAGCAGGGTCTTCTTGGAGCTAAGCTGGCTCCAAGGTGACTGCTTAACAACAGAATATTGCAATTCAGTCAATCCTCTGGGACGGTGTCAGTAGTCTGATTTCTGAGACAGGCGGAGTAGTACTTCAGGGCACAAATCACACTCTCTTAGCACCAATAAACTTGGCGTTTGAATGGTTCAACCTAAAATTCTATGTACACTTTTACAACCAGTTTTTCCCACGCAGAGAGCTGCTGAGAAGTGAGTAACACAAAAGACCAGCTTCCTGTTCCACAAAAAAAGTTCAAATCTTTATCCTTCACCTTAACATATCAGGCATAAGAACTAATATTCGATACACTGGTGCCTTGAAAGAACCCGAAGACAAATTTACAACAAATTGCACTACACAAACTTTACATTACATTTGAAGAATAACATCGATTCATAATCAGTTTGGTCTACATTTTGGCCTGCTGTAAATTTCAGAAGGGCAGTTAATTCAAAGCTTTCCTTTTAGTACTTGGGCTACATACATGTATGTTGCATACTTGCATAGGCAACAATGAATTTCTGTTGAATTTTTAAAGATCTCATCTACATCTCCTGTCATGCACCAGATCTCAAATTCAGAAAGCAGACAGGCAAACGTACTGTCAGGCATGTTCCTGACCCAGGCCCCAGGTCCTCATTGCTGATGTGGGAGAAAGAAATTGCAGAACATCTGGAGGACAACGATAGCGCAGCATAGCATTCAGAAGTATTGGGTTCATGTTTTGGGTATGACCCTGCACCAGAGTGCTTGTTCTGCACTGCCAGCATTTGCCTTTGGACTGTAAATCAGAAAGTATATGTATTAAATACCTTCGGACATTTGAATCTAACCCAAGAATGATGCATCTCAAGTGCAGGTCAGCAACAAGCATAAACAAACACAATGACAAATTACTGTTATGTTTTTGAAAGTATTCACTATACTTTATGTTTCATGATACACAAACAAGTACCTAAGAATTTTCAGATCCAAATTATATCCAAATGGTGCTAAGATAGAAGGCATATTCTGCTGTTTCTACCAAAGGGGAGGGGAAAGAGGAAGAGAAATACAAGCCACACAGCTGTGCCTTTCCATCATCTGTACAAATGAGTTTGGATACTGAGGTGCCATCTATAATTAGCATTTACGAAGTTATTCTTACTGACCCTGCCCAGCTACACAGCAAATAGTCCAAGAGTTAGAGCCTCATCTCCCCACTCTCAAGGGTTGTGATAATTACCAAATATTTAGGGATTCAAAACTGACAAAAAACTGGTAACTTCTGCAGGTCCAGCTGGAAACAGGCGAGCAGACCAAG